GACCCATACTATTACAAGACTGTTCAAGTTAAAAGTAATTATGGTGTCGAGGTGACTATTGTAAATGTGACCGAAGATGATTTTGGACTCTACACTTGCTCTGTGAGCAATCATATCGGCAGGGATTTCAGGAGTGCATACCTCATCAAATATGTGAAACCCACGGTTCCTGTGACAGGTGAGTACCTTTTTTAAACACGGCGCTGCAAACTTTCTCATAAGCGCACCTAGCGGAGTGATTGTTCTTTAAGTAAAGCATTCTGCTTCTCAGAAACGTTCTTACCTAACTTGTAAATATGGTTTGTATAATGTTGTCTTAAATCAATCAATATCTCCGTTTAGCAATCACTTTTCTGCTCGAAAGTGTATGGCAGGGTAGGGAGAATCACTTCTTAATCACTATTAGGAGTTAAAAGGTTAAGAACTGTGACGTGTCTTAGAATAACTGCCATGATTACCACTGTCTCATTGGCAGGCAGCCAATCGCTGCTGCAGAATGCAATTACATCGAAAACGATTTCAGGAGTGCATTTCTCATCAAATATGTGAAACCCACGGTTCCTATGACAGATCAGTATCAGTTTAAAACACGGCATCGAAAACTTTGTCATATATGCACATAGCGAGGCGACTGTCCCTTTAGGTCAAGCATTCTCCGTAGTTACTAAATGTAACCGATGATGACTTTGAATTTGACACTTACTTTGTAAGCATTTATATCGGTAACGATTTCGGGAGTGCATTCTGCATCAAATATGTGAAACCCACGGTTCCTTTGACAGGTCAGTATCTGTTTTAAACACGGCACCGCAAACTTTGTCATATATGCGCATAGCGGAGCGACTGTCCCTTTAGGTCAAGCTCTCTCCATAGTTACTAAATGTAACCGATGATGATTTTGAATTTGACACCTACTTTGTAAACATTCATATCAGTAACGATTTCGGGAGTGTATTCCGCATCTAATATGTGACGGATAAGAACCTGTTTAATACCAACCTCGTTCCCAGGGTCTTTTCCTTAGTTGGAGTTGGGGCGAGAACGAGGTTGGTTCAATACACTTTCACGCATGCTCTCTCAATGACCTACACTGTGGACACAGCGGCAATATGAGTGCCCATGTTCCACTACTTTAGCCATTTGAGTATTCAGGGCTAGGATTCTTCTTCTGCAAATATAATAAGCAGACGCGGGTTTTTCCGCCGAGACAACAGATATAGGTTTTGGAGTGAAAGTAGACAGCTTAGGTTTATGAGGAAAAAAAAATAACCAGAGAACGTCCTTTCTTGTCATTATAAGATAGCCAGCTAACCAGCTTATTCTTGTGTTAGTATTGTTTTCAATGGGATTGATTTTAAGTTTTACTTAGATGAGTTTTTGAGATAAACCTTTAAGCTAATAACACACCCTTATTTTCTTCTTTCAGAAGCTGAATTTGAATAAGATGCTTTCATCATTTTCAGCTCCCAAGACTTGGATTGGGTGATTAAAACTCTAATTCCAACTCTTGAAGAAAAACACCATTTTAAATGCTGTGTACACTACAGATATTTCGTTGTTGGAGTACCTTTTCGCGAAAATATGGTCACAGTGTTTACATATCTAGAAGGACAATAGCCGTTGTGTCTAAGAACTTTTTTAAGACCAACTATTGTGGTTCAGAAATGGAATATGCCCTCCATCGACTTATGGAAAGGAGAGATGATAGTGTAGTCGTTATTAAACTTGATGACGTTGATAGAGCAAAACTTCCTAAGGAGCTGCAAAAAAGTAGCTACATAGGCTATCTAAAGAATGTTGAAAGGGATCTCTGGGAAAGAAAATTGATTAATTGTTTAAAGATTCCGAACGATCAGCCACAAGAACAGATTTTGTAATAAGCTTTCTTTGTCTATGCCGTCACTAGCTCCAACGTTGGAAATATATTAGTAGAGAGGTGACATTTTTTACTCGTGCTGAATCTATTTATTCTCTACTTTCCTTCTGATTTCTTGTGCTTTCAAATGAAACATCGCCCGCATACATTCGCTAAGGCTTCCCAGGATCATTCAATCTTGGTATACAATGTGTAACATTTTTATAAAGCGGGCAGTCTTGTTGGAAATTTGAAGTGTCTGAAGCCGGAAACAAGAGATGATGCTTAAAACTAATCTGTAGAGGAATTAGGAAGGGAAAGGGTCTTTTTCATCATTTATATATTTACTGTATGTATAGTGAATCAGAACTCAGTCAAATCACAAAATCTTATGAGACCTTTAACGAGTTTTCATACTAAGAATGTCATTAAATTCTTTTTTTTATATATATTAATCTTTGCTATCATTTATTTTGGACAGACCCTGTCTATACACAATCGGTCTTAGGTGAAATTTTAACTTTGTTGGATGGAAAATGGGTACCAACAGATATGTTTTCAGTATACTTTGAGGTTTTAAACTAGCAGATTGCAGCTCCTTTAGAAATACTGACTTTTATGAATGAAATTTTTAGTGCAGCAGAAGAAAGAGCAGTAACTCTGAAAGGTATGTGGGTAGTTTTCCGGTTACAGTTCTTGACCTCAGGATTTTAGTGAAATCTGGGGGGCGTTACTGTAAGGACGAGGCATGGCGCTTTTGATCAACGGATAACCAGAATACCTTTCGAGACTGCCGCGTGCACCTTTGTCCATTCTTCCGGCAATCTTTCTCGAAATAGCTTTGTATAACGCACCACCCGAACGGCTAACGCCCAAAACAACAGTTTTAGATTCTCTTTATGGTGACCAACTCACATTATCAGCTATGTTGATAAAATTTATTTCTACTCACAAAGTAGTAAAATAAAAGTTAAAAAAATGAAGCATTAAAACTATTTTGGAACACAAAAAACCTGCCAAATCACCAACTCTTAAGGGTAAGACGAGTTATGGCGTTTTCTATTATTACCTTTAGCATGCACCTTTCGCAATATGTAGTTATTGATTGAGAGGGAGGGCCGGACGAGAAAATATTTGGCTCGAGGTGCGTTATGACGTACGGACCGAGCCCAGTGAGGTTCGTGTCCCATGACTGTTAGTATGTGGTGTCATGTGCTAGCGGTATATACAAATACCTGTTTCGCCTAAGTTGAGTTATACAAAAGTGTTACTTCAGTCAAGTGAACTAGAATATTAAAAACGCTTTAATGAATTAACCGGATCGAAAACGTTTCTACAAGATTTATCATAAAAAGTAAAGTAACTGGTAACAAAACTATTTCATTTAGCTCGGTGCAATGTAGACGACAGTATTTAAATTTTAGCTAAATCTTCACGATGAGGGGATAAAGTTTTAGAACTTAAAAGAAAGTATAGGAGAAATTATCATTAGTTTTACCGTTATTATTGTCCTAATGACTGTCACCCTCTGGACGTACCCAACATTTTCAAACCTAAGGTTTTGTTATATGAGATGAAGGCTTAATCAAGTGAACCAGAATATTAAAAAGCTTCAGGATAAACGGATGGGAAATGTTTCGACAAGATTCATTATGATACAGAGTGAGTGACAGACTACAAAAGGATTTCATGTAGCTAGGCGGGTACAGTGCAAGCAAAAGTAGTCAGATTTTTGCAAGTGTTTTGTTAGTCAGATACAATGAAATATATGAAGTTCATATATTTTGAAGTGCGGTATTAGATACGTATGATGCACGATCCTCGCAGCATATAGCGCTATTAAGCAATAGCGAAAATAAGACCAGAAAAAAATCAGGCCTGTACGGGATTCGAACCACTGACCTCTGCGATACTAGTGCAGCGCTCTACCAATTGAGCTAACAAGCCAACTGGGAATAGGCTGTTAAGTTGATTCGCAATAAACCCGTGAAAGTGATAAACCAGATACAATGAAATATATGAAGTTCATATATTTTGAACTGCGGTATTAGGTACGTATGATGCACGATCCTCGCAGCATATAGCGTATGATTTTCGCTATTGCTTAAATAGCGCTATATGCTGCGAGGATCGTGCATCATACGTATCTAATACCGCAGTTCAAAATATATGAACTTCATATATTTCATTGTATCTGGTTTATCACTTTCACGGGTTTATTACGAATCAACTTAACGGCCTGCTCCCAGTTGGCTTGTTAGCTCAATTGGTAGAGCGCTGCACTAGTATCGCAGAGGTCAGTGGTTCGAATCCCGTACAGGCCTGATTTTTTTCAGGTCTGATTTTCGCTATTGCTTAAATAGCGCTATATGCTGCGAGGATCGTGCATCATACGTATGTTTTGTTAGTGTTTGTAGCGGAAGAGGGATCCAGGTTTGATCATCTGCTGATTATAAGCAAGTAAGTGGTTTGTGTCTTCCATACTGCCAAGATAAAAAATTATACTTTTTCAATGAAATGAAAAGGTCGAATGCGTGCATACAAGTCAAATTTAGAACTTGATGACATGAGATCAGAGAGGCACGTAACTTAGAATAACGCAAACTGAAACACGCAACTTCAACGTTTATTATTGGAGCTTAAAAGAATTCGAATCACGTATCGGAAATTTCGCATTTGCTTGACAACGTCAATAGTGGAAGTGCTACATCAGTTTTGACGTCATCTTAGTCAGCAGTACTGACTCGGAAAGAAAAGGAGGTCTGGGTACCAAAAACAGGTTGTCGCGAGGGGATACTCGGGAGGGGAGCGTTGTTTTGGTCACGTGATACGCTATCTCAAAGACGTGTAAAAGATGGCGTACGGCAAATATCAACTTGTTGTGTTGATATTTTTGCTTTTGGGGTTTTCGTTTGTCTATTCGTCTTTGATCGAGTATTCCTGTCAGACCTGGGGAGGATATGGGGACTTTTCGGATGTAACTTTTGGGGATCAACCTTCACTGACAGAAACCAGTTGTGGCAAGGAGGTCGAGTTAAAGACGTTCTCGGACTCACCCCCAAGGGTACGCTACTCACAAGCGGTAAGGATTTTACTGAAACTTCATGGATGTTTGAGGCTTTAAGCTGGAATGGGGAAAGAAAGAAAGAAAAGAAAAAACATTATTCAGTGTCAATGTGTTTAGCTTTACAAGTGTAAAAACTAATTGGGGACACTACTTAGTTACTTTAACCTAAAGAAGTTTAAAGATAAATATACTAGTTATTTACACATTTAGAGTAAAATTTCAAATGTAAAACTAGAGCCTTATTTACATACTAATAATACTTTTAGATGGAAAGGCTGAAATTCTTCATTAAACAGGAGTAGCATTGCTAAGTCTGACTGAAATCGTAACGTACAGGTGTACGTATTGTACAGTTTGTATGAAGAAATAAAGGCTGATAGTTTCGAAAGAAACTGTTTGGGGCTGCGTCGGTGGGAGTAACGAAATAATTTGGATATATCAACAGAGTTGAAGTGGTAAATTGGCCACCGTAACGAATACAAAAGCTGACGTTTCGAGCGTTAGCCCTTCGTCGGAGCGAATGAATCGAAGTAATTTCGTTTTAAACCACCCCCTCCCCCCCTAAAACACTATTCGCTCCGACGAAGGGTTAACGCTCGAAAGGTCAGCTTTGGTAATCGTAACGGTGGCCAATTTACCACTTCAACTTTGTATGAAGAAAGCTTGACTTGAAACGATATTAAGTTGCCTTTCTCGAGCAGTTGTCAACTTAGTGTGGCCGTTCTATTTCTTTTACAAATACACGAATTAAAAGGAAGCTCGGGAAACTCAATAACTAGTATCTAAGCTTGGAAGTACTGGCTAAAATGTCATCAATGTTTTATTATGGACCAGTCGTAAATAATAATTATTAAACAAATAGATTTCATGACCATAGATGACATCAAAGTGTAGGAAGAAAAAAGGGAGGACATGAAGCACAGCTGAGTCTACCACTTATTACAACATAATAAGTTAAGTTAGAAGTTATCATTTTCAATTATTTTCAGGTTTCTGCTAAAAAATATTTGATAGCAATGATTGATCCTGATGCACCCTCTAGGGAGAGCCACAGTTGTCGAAGCTGGCTTCATTGGATTGTTGGTAACATTAAGGTCAGTAGAGCTTTTACAAATTATTGGGGGAAAATGCATTTAACATCTTTAGTAAAACCATTGTTATCAATCAATTGCTAGGGGTTACTTTTGATGTTTTCATTTATTGTTGATTACTTTTTTCTTTTCAAAGGGAAAGAACTTGGAACATGGTGACATTATGGGTGACACTTTCACAGGTATACATGAATGTGTTAAATTGCTCGGTGTTTAAACTACAATCAGTTTTAATTTAAACGAATCAAAGTCATTTAGTTTTAAACCACCCCCTTCCCTCCCTAAAACACTATTGAACTCAAACTGCAAGTCAGAGAGGGAGAAAAACTCAATACTGTGTCAGAGTGGGAAGTGGAGGTGGGAAAAAAGTGTCATAGTGTGACACATTCCTTTTTTTCTCTTACCTAACAAAGGTTCTTTGACATCATCAGACAGGATATATAGTTAAAAAATCGGAGCAAGTCAAAGCAGAATAAAAGTCAGCTGATATTACTTTGTTTTAATCATTCCAAGAAAAAAAGGAAAATCCTAGAGTAAAGAATACTGTGCGCTGATAGCAAACCACTCCTTTACTTTCAGTACTTTAAACCTTGTCTATCTTACTAGATTTGCAGTTGTGTGTGGATCATTTTCTCTTTTTACATTCTGCCTGCTTACTTTTTTTCTATGATCCCTTATTCCAGTATCCCTTTCAAACATTTTGCAGGTTACAACCCACCAACTCCACCTTCAGGATCTGGTCCACACAGATACTACTTGTATGTGTTTGAACAAAAGCATCCCTTAGATATCGAAGCTGAGGTGGTCAAACGTTGCCAGTTCTCTATTGATGATTACAAACAAAACAATGACTTGACCCCTGTGGCTATGAACATGTTCCAAACAGTTAATAATTCTTGAGTTTACTTTGTGCAATTGTCATGCATTTGAACTGAAAACAGAAGCTAGGTACTCAGTTCAGGATTCTTCGTTGGTTTTTGTTATTTTCTAAGACATAAAGGAACAAAGTATGCAGAAATTTTATGTCTGCCAAACATGAAAAGTAAAGCAAAACTGTTGTAAATGTTCAGCTTTGTGAATTTGATGGAAACAACAATATGGTTTCAGAAGTAGCAAATCATTCATATCAGGAAGGATTATACTGAAAAAGGTATGAAATATTGTGTAGGAGAAAGCAAGATAACATCCCAAATTATGTAACTCTAGATGAGATATACCAAAAGTGAAATTATTTATTATTTGCCCTATTATTTGTGAGGAAAGTGACATGTGTAAAACAGAATTACCATTGATTAAAGTAAATATGAGGCATCAACCTCAGATAGATATGAAGATTGGAAAATTTGATATTTTTGATAGAGTTAATAATTTCCTAGAGAAAACATTACTGTCATGAATGTTTGGATAAAACAGTGACAATACAACTGCTTTGAGGTGGTGTTCATTTTTAAGTAAAAATTCCATGGAATAAAACAACTGTTTTGTCAGAAATTGTCACCATGATGTTTTTTTATCTAAAAAAAAGTGCTTCTCTTCACATATGCATTCAAATCGTGGGAATGAAAAGCTGGTTACAGGATACATGCACCCAAGAATTCTTATAAACATATCCTAAATGGACAGAAATAAATAAAAAAAAATAATCTCAAGTCAGTTTTATTTTGGCACCTTACATATTAGCCCAGTGGGAGACTGCACTGGGTTCCAGGGTTAGAGGTTCAGATTTGGGCCCTGGTTAAGCTGCTTTGAGGGATTTAATAGAAGTTGGTTACTGGCAGTCTGCTTCTGCCTGTGAGACCTCTTACCATCTGTTTATCCTGCAAGGAGGCTCTTGTGTTAGGATTTCACCTTTAGCCCCTTTTGTCTTTGGTGCATTTTCAAATTTTAAGAGTTGACTGAAAATCAAATTGTTAAAATTGAATTACAAAAGCAACCTTAAAAAGATGAGTCTTAGCCTTATTTTCTAAGTGCTGCTGCTGCTGCTGATGATGATGATGATGATTGTCTTTAAGGTGATGGTGAAATGCTTAAGACCCCTTGGAACATTGAGGATGGGCCTTTTTTCATTAATGATTAGGTCAAGGCTGATATCAACAAGAGATGCTATCTAGGAAATTACCTCACAAAAAAAAATCAAAGGAAATGGTTTTTTTAAGTTTTGTTCCCAACAAAATTGGTTTACTTTATTTTCAAGCTGCCAGTGATTACACATTCAAGTTTCCCATGTAATAAGTAAAAGAAATTATTTTCCTCAACGGCATGCCTGTTTCTCAGTTTTAATTACCCTCAACCTTTTTCCCTTTCAAGAGGTTAAAGCAACTTTTAAGTAAACAACAAAATTGTACATTTGACTTTTTTGTCTATGTTTGTTAACTGTATTGTGTACCATACTGTTTCCAAATGGTCATAATCCTCTAAACCCTTTACACCCTAGCACTAGCAGGGATGGCACAGTGGTGAGAGCACTCACCTCCCACAGCTGTGGCCTGGGTTCAACTACCAAACCCGGTGTCACTTGTGGGTTGAGTCTGTTGTTGGTTCTTGTCCTTGCTGAGGGTTTTTCTTCGGGTCCTCCAGTTTTCCTCCCTCCACATAAACCTACATTCCAAATTCCAATTCAATCTGGAAACAGTTGACAAGAAGAGCCATCCAATGAAATGTCCATTGCCAAATTATTATTATTATTATTATTAGTATTATTATCATCCACACTGTTCTCTTTACATTTCCTATGGTAGTAACAAGGAGAATTTGTTGGACAATTAGGAGCTCTTTAAATTGATTGAACAGTGATTTAGCATGGTCTTTACACTTAACGACAACAATATTCATCATCACAGAGGTCAAAACGTTGTGGACTCACTCAGCTGCGCCACATGAGTCCAGAACAAATTTTGACCACCATGATGACAAATATCCTTATCAATATGATTACAGACCAGGCTAACCCACTGTCAATTTGTTTTTCATCACAATATCAACATCAAATAAAAGGATCCTTCCAATGCATGACAAGTTGCGTGACATGTTGATGCAAGCAGCATTGTCTGTATCCTTATAAATAAAGGCAAATTGGCCAATCAAATTGCCACATTGCAGCTAATTGTGGTAAAAAAAATCATTTTCTTCATCCTCGTGGCCTTATACTTGATTTAAGATGATACTATGAGGAGAAATTAGAAGCCAGTCGAGTTTAAGGGGTTACAGTTATTAAAAATCATTGACATACTCTGCAATCAGTCAAATTTGAAATCAGTTGCCTACTAATGTCCTGAATAGACAACTTTCAATAAAAACATTTAAACTCAGCGCAAGGGCTGATGGGATCAAACCAAAGTACTGTATTTTAAGACCTTATACTAAAGGAAAACTATAAATAACGGAGTCAAATCTGAACAGATTCAAAGTCTAATAATCTGATAAGTAAAAGCATATCTAAAACTATACAGAAAAGAGAAAGGTGACCTTATTGCTATTTCATGTTTCACTCCCATAGTGTCTAGTCCTTGTATAAATTTTGAATGGGTTGAAAACAATTCCCAAATTAAATTGCTACAACAAAATATGCTAGGCTGTAAAAGGAAGTAAAGGAGTAAATGAATTTTAAAAACTGAGGAGTGAAAGCATTTGTAACTCATTTTTATCACGATTAGTCTCATAAACTGAAATTAAACATGTGGGAGAAAGTGCAATTTTTTATCTTGGGTAATTGTCAGAAGTCCTTAATAGCTTGGAAAAATAGTTGAAGCTCAAAAAGAAATAAATATTAAAAAAAAAAGAAAGATCAAAAGACTTTTGAAATTTGAAGAATTTTCAACAATCTCCCATTCCTGTAAATTACCATGTGGCTTTAGGGTTGAAATACAGAAAAAATACAGCATTTTAAAACTGTTATTACCTGTTACTAAATATTACTACTGTTACTGATACTAATTAAAGCTACAAACATCAGTGGGATGTCTGATAATGCCTAAGATACTCAAACATTTGTCTCTTGTGCTTGATTTCTTGTGAGGTTTTCTCTTAAGGCCAGTGGCTTTTGCTTGAAAGCTGGCCAGCGACACACAGGACAGCAATAGCGACAACTGGAATTCCCCCCACAGAGCCACTCTTCAATACATTTCTGATGGTAACAGTGGCCACAAGGGAGGCCAAGTAACATGCAGCCACTATTGAAATCCTCCAGACATATTGAACAGTCTTGTGCCACTAACATCCCTGGTGGTTTTACAGATTCTTTGCAACAAGAGTTACACTTGCTTGTGCAATTCTCCTGTTTGTCATCACAGCAATGATTCACCTGGGAATGACGGAATTTCCACACTGGGAGGCTGTTAAGATATTCAGTGGGAATTATGGGATGGAGCCACAGTTCAGGGACTGCAAGGCGTCGCATAAGGGGTTCAAATCCATCCTCCAGACCTAAAAGGCTGTAGTCTATTCGTGAATGTCCCAAATAGGGAAATGTCTGAACAACATTTGTTAAGGAGTGGAGATCTTGAGTTAACCACTCTGTGATAGATGTAGCACTGTCATGTTCATTCTCATATCCACTATACCATCTAATTCTCCTCTGCACCCACCATATCAGCATACCATAGAATAAATATCCCCCATACAGAAACCACTTGTGTTGTAATGCAAAGAATAAGTAATTTCTCATAATTGCTGCAGCATCTGATGTCATAGCATATCTGGAGTATTTCAGGGCAAAATCCAGAAGTGGAGTCAGACATGGCAGTTGCAACATTGCAAGGACTGGAAGGCACAGGATTATAAGACTGGTATTATAAAATATCAGGAGCCATACAAAGTGAATAAATCTCTTCAATATGCCTCCATTTATTATGAATAAAGCCATAAAACAGCTCATATTCATCATCAGGAACACTGTCACGAATACATCGTTCACATCTGGATGTAGTGTTTTAAGAAATAATTCAAGATTATGATATCTTACCCACTCTCCTTTTCTATGACCGTACGTCAAATTCCCCTCTGGTGTAAATATCATAAGACTTGGAAATTTATCTATGCTGTAATTTTTCAGGATATGTTTTTCTCTCGTCCAATCGAATGCTCGTACGTGTCCAAATCGAACTCTTCCCGTAAACTGAACTGAAAGGGATGCAAGGTATAAGGGAGGTTCTGGTAATGTCGTGAATAATAGGACATAGACAGGATTTTCTTCTATTTTCGCTTTAAACGTTTCAGAAAATTCTTCTACTCTGTCAAATGTTTCTATTTTCAAAGAGAGCTCTTTGCTAATCCACCTGAACACGAGTTCCACCGAAGGTCTCGAATCGTATGTTTTTAAAATGACGTTACCCTTGGGTTGATTTCCCTGAGGCATAGAAATAGCGAGGGATGGCTCTTTCCAACCATACTTAATGCACAATCTCGGATCATTGCCACAATTAAATGTTCCAATTCGAATACCAAATCGAACGATCTTTCTTCGGAGGGCCAACCATTGCTTCCTTCGAAGCAAAGACGAGTGGCCTTCAGGTATGACATCAACCAACCATGTCCCGGCTTTGGTATCTTCTACTTCTTCAAAGAAATGAGATGCTCCAGTGAACTGCAGCTCGTTGCTTTCCTCTTTGTTATCTCCAGAACTTTCGGCGCTAATAGAGCAGCTTTCGGCCCCTGTCAACGTTCCACAAGCTTCGACTAATTCGGCAAGCTCTTTCTTCTCCACCAAACCGGTGTAACTAACGCCCCTTTCTTCCAAAATCGCTTTCAGTTTTCTAACACTTAGAGTGAACGGGCTCAATAACTGACTCGCCAAACACCCAGCTTTCAGCCATGTCGATGAAATTTCGAAGATTCGAGCGGCAAGAAACACTAACAGGAGATAACTCAACAAGACAACAAACAGCTTCGCCAACATGGCGACCACAGGCGATAATAAACACGAAGGTGATCAGGTGCTTAATTTGGCGGCAAATTTTTGATAAATTCTGCGATGTAATTGGTTGGTTTGAAAACGAGTCGCGACGGCGCGGTGACAAGTGAGCAGCTTTTCTGACGCGTTTATTAGTTTTGTGCAAAAAAAGGCACTGAGTTTCCTTCTTCAGGGGACAGCAGCTGAAGATCAGGACAAAATGGATCCGATCTCATCCAAAAGAGTGAGTCATGAACTGTTTTCTTTGATTAGGAGATTTAAAAAGAAGTTAAAATACAACCCTTATGAACATGTGATCTTCCGATCCCGGCAATCATAATATAATGTACTTTAAAGTTACTTCCATTTCTCACTACTTTCACAGCTACCGCGTTTCCTTGAATTTACTACAAACCAGCACAGGATAATAGCCTGTTTCACGATCACTTAATTTCCATTCTTCATAATTTACGTTTTGCCTCCAATGGTTCTCACAGCTAAGTGAAAGAAACTGCTTCAAAGAGACATGTACATGTAAATGGTAAGTGCCTATATCGTTTTCATTCCTAATTGACCATATCCCTTAGTGTAATATTTAGTAAATGTAGACCACAAAATAGGGATTAAAAAGGACTATGGGCAAGAGTTCCATATAACCCCATACTTCATTATGCATTCAGCTCTTGGATAAAGGAAAGCAGAGGCAAAACAAGAGATTTCCTTTGGGACTACGGCTTTGTTTTTTATTGGTATATATATCTTATTAACCAAGCACGAGGGCCGTACTGGGAGAATATCGGCCCGAGGTCTTGACAGTACAGACTGAGCACAGCTCGGTCTGGACAAAAAAGACCGAGGGCCGATATTCTTCCAGTATGGTCCCGAGCAAGCTTGGTTAATAAGAGATTTATTATACGACTGAAGTTCAAAGGGATACAAGTGCGGTATCATTCGGGACCATTCGGGACAGTGCCCGGTCCAATACTTAGAGAATATTGGACCGGCAATAGAGCATTTTGATTGGTTGATTTTAGTTATTGGCCCTCTGACTGCTCGAGTCGTGTAATAAAGGATGATATAGAACTCTTGCCGGATTATGTTTGTAAAGGGAGGACAGATATGTGGACTGGGCATAAATACTCTTTGTTGCGACCAGGTGATATCTAAAAATTATTCAACAAGGTGGAGGTGAATAATGGTAGATATTTACTGAGATGCAAAGCTGCAAGGTAAATATTCACCACTTTCAGACATTGGCAAGAATAATTGTTTTTGCATATGTCACACAGAAACTGAAAAAATAGTTTATATCTGTCAGTATATTATTAAATGGATAGAAATTAAATTATTGACATGCAAGTTTGTCTCTCTGGCTGCGCAGTGGTGAGTAGTACTTCCTGATCACTCCCAAACCAGCCAATCAGCATGTACAAAGAGAGGTATTCACCTGTGTGGTATACACCAGGCAATTTTTAGATTTTAAGAGAACTACAAGTTAAAGGTTGAGTTACACTAACAATGCGGCAATGGGGAAAATATAGTGGTCCTCAGTACATCTACATTTTTGCCAATATTCTGTTGTGACAAAAGATATAAAATCAATGCAAGAGCAATTTCAAAGTTTTTCTATGAAAAATAGTCTCGATGGAGTTTAGATATTGCACTTGTAGTTTTCTCAAGATGCCTTCGGTTAAAAACAGATGAAATGTAATCTACACTGTTAACAATGTTTTAAGTCTTAAAAGCTTGACAATGTAAATGATATGGGTTCAAAAGTGTCTTCTGTTCCACATCCTAAATAAACACACAAAGCGATGATATCCAGGCATCTTGCTCAGCCACACCATGGTGTCATTTGGTTTTTTTCTTTATTCACTATGACCTGATGAAATCTAAATAGACCAAATGTGCAGAACTCAAAGCTTTAAATATCTGTTCTAACATTGAAAATCAAACTTTTTTAGATAATAGCAGTTCATTGGAAAGATATGTTAGATTTGAAAAATATCTTTCTAGCCATATTGTCCATCATTTGAGCATGAAAAAAGGTAAATCTGTTACAAAAACACATTAATAGACTCAATGTAGTCTGTTTTAATGTTGAATGTGGAGCTGGGATTAAAGTAGGTTGAGGGATTGCAGGTAAAAATAGGTTGAAGAGAATCGTGTACTTTTATCCCATAAGGTTTTGGAAGTAACATAGCGGAAGAATCCCTAAGAGACGAGTCAACAGATTTGTAGGAAATAGTGTTTAAACAGTGTACTTCATTAGGTGGGAGGATAGGGTCTGTATTCTGGACTGAGACCCTTAAATATTCATAAGAGGACATCAAGCAAACCATAAATTCCTTCAAATATTTTCAACTTTTATTGTTATCATCCTTAAGTGACCAGCACTGTGTTTATCGAGTCAATGACCAGCTTGACTTTTACTTTGTTTGTTATAATCTCTGACATTTTGAAAAAAATCATTCTCCTTGATAAACAGTCAACATCTATAAATGTTTATACAACTGGGTTAAACCCGTAAGTGAGTACTCATGAATATCAAAAAAAGCTATGAATTTTTGTAAATTTGATTTCTAGTTATGAAAAAAATTATATATAATTTTATCTACTGTACCAAGGAGAACAATTTGACAATACTTAACATCTTTACACAAAATATCTTACGTTAAATTGTATACAGAAACCAGCTGTATTTTTTGTTTCTATCTCATATTTGTATGAAAAATAGGCCCAGTAGGACACCAAGTGTCTAGAATGATCTGCACATAAAACTATGTACATTAGGACCAGCCTAATTTTGAATTTTCTCAACTTATAAATACAACTAGATTTGCATGTGGAGAGTGCCATAGGGCACTCTGTCTTGATAAACAATAACACCAATTATTGAAACAGATCACTGTTTTTATGAAGATTATGTTAGCTCCAAGGAATACAGAGACCAGCTGTATGCTAACACAAAACTCCATCACTGAAAAAATACCTTACATTAAGCATTATTATGGCACTTACAGTACCTTGCAAAATCTGCATAATGAAAATCTGTACAAAGGACCAGCCTTCCTTCAAAATTCTTCCTTAAAATAATATACACAAATGTTCTTCAAAACACAAGGTATTTATCATAATAAGAGTTCTTCAAAACCGCAATGTGTTTAAAACTGTAATGTTTGATCAATGCCTGCACTGTCAAATGTTTGTGGCAAATACTTTAAAAAGAGTTCACTGAGGTAACTGGGACCTGAAGTGGTGATGGTGTTGATTGGGGAGACCGGCTCTGGATTGGTGAAACAGTTCCATTACTTTGAGCCATGGCTTTTCTGGCTTCCTCTTCTTTTTTAGCTTGTTCTCTCAAATGGATCTTCATGTGGCGACGGCGTTCATCAGATCGTGCAAATCGTCGACCACATGTGTCACAGGCAAAAGGTTTCTCACCAGTGTGAGTACGGATGTGAGTTGTCAGATGGTCTGAGCGAGAAAAGTTCCTCATGCAGATCCTACACTGGAATGGTTTCTGTCCAGTGTGGGTTCGCATGTGGCGTGTCAGTTCATCAGACCTTGAGAACCTCCGTGGGCATGTTTCAACTGGGCATGCATAAGGCCGCTCACTTGGTGGTGTTCGTGAGCGCCCATCAGCAGGGTTGTTACGCTTTGCTTTCAGTATAGCAGACCCAGCCTTGGCAGGGCGACCTCTCTGGACAGGTTTTGGAGGCGTTGTAAGAAAGTCAGAAGGAGTTGTGGTGTGCAGAAGGAGTTTGTCCATCATTGCAGAGTGATCAGGAGACATTGTAGTAGGAAATGGAGAAGGACCACTAAGTATTGGCCATTTCATGTTCAGTGTGGCTGTAGCTTGCATAAACATCGGTGAATTAGAGTTCACCGGCTGTTGAATAGGTCGCTGGTAAAAGTTGGTCTGTGGGTTGTTTGCGGCTGAGACTGCCACCTGCTCTTGTGGAAGATCTTGTGGAGTAGGAGTTTGTACCTTGTTTGGTGCCGAATTTACTTCCTGGGACATTGGAAGCTTTGTGTCCGAGAAGAATGTGCTCCAAGGTGTAGTTCCAGCCTGACTGATCAGGGGAGTAAGAACTGTGCGGTCAGGAATCCACAAATTGTGGGCTGGCGAACTGTAAGGAGAAGCGTGTCCGCTCGGTGGTGGAGTCGATCCAGTCGGTCCCGAAATCACATCATGTAGACTTGGGACTTTAAAATGGGCCAAGCGTTGTTGGCAAGCTTTGGCAGACTGGTTTGCACCCTCCTGCTTTACGTCCGGCACAGTGTAATCCAGGTCAAGATCTCCTGAGAAAAGCGAGAAGGCAAAATCAGTGTTAGCGAGCTAATGTAAACTAACTATACAAATTGCAATGAGTGGCATCATAAATTAAACATTGCCTCCAAAGGGAGCGCGTTGCGTAAGAAATATTACTTTAAATCTCGACTTTCTCAGACCAGAACCCTTACTTTAGTAAGAAAAGACACACTTTTCTAAGAAACAACACAAGATTGTAGCCGATGTTCTTTAAGTTTGATGAGAGTTAGGCAAAATTGTCGAACTCGAACAATTTCACAAATTAGTTGAACGAACAGATTCGAAAGGCACTTAGTGAGACTGACGGCTATAAATGTTCGAAAAAAAAAATGCCCACGGTCTTAAAGCAGGGCAAACGTTTATTTGTGAAGACACCAACACGGCGATTCGCGTAGGTGGATTCGCTTCCGACGATAACAGACAACTTAGTCCGAACGGTGGCTGTTAGAATTTAACGTTCGTTAGTTTTACTAAGTACCTGGAACAGAAGTGTCGTGGAAATCAACCGGCTCACCAAAAATATTCGTCGGTTCATCCATGCCGGCATGAACAAATGAAAATTCCTCGGCGCTAAGTTGAGGAACTTGGCGAGCAAGCTGAGGTGTAAGAAGACTGGCGGTGTCAAAACCAAAAAGTTGGTCCGTAGCAACTTGAGCAAGGCTATCCAAAGCTTCAGTCATGGTAATCATCATGATAAATTACAAATATGTTTCTCCAAACGGCTGGGTTAAATAACTTGAAGTAGTTTTGTGTCGTTTAAACTGATCAACAGTATAGGTATAGGTCGAGTTATTGGCCAGCAATAACTACGACTCGGCTTAGAACTTCGGGGTCGTTTGCGTTCCGTCGGATTTACCTCCTTCGCTTCGTAGAGCTCGACGATTCTGTGTACGAACCGAGTGGGCGACTCCTTAAATCTAAAATTCATTGTTCTTTCAGAAAGTTGTGACGTGCGAGAATTTTCCAATAATGTCAGGCAGCCAATGAACTCGGTGCTAATTTTAGCCGACGTGCGTCATGGTTTGACGTAGATTAGATATTGCGCAAATGTGTATTGTTTATCAATAACCGGTATCGTCAAGCGGTTTGATCGAAAAATGACTCTCGGCACATTTTCGTCTCGCTCTGAATTCGAAACAAATGACATCTATTCTCCCTTATGAATCTTCTTTCATCGAAAAACATAAAAATCCTTGACGATAAAGTGAATAAAATCGAGAGTTTTCTTTTGTGGCGTTACGGAAATGCTTGTTGAACATTTGCATACGCGTCATCGGTTGTCACCCTGGTTTATATTGTACAATTGTTCAATTATTGTTTACTCTATGACGTTCATTCGCTGTTGGGCCCTCAGTCAGTCGTCCGTGACAAGAAACGAATAATCTAGACAAATTCATGCAAATATTTTGAGGGTCAGGTTACCAACTCTAAATATTGCTCAATTTTCGAGTGGACTTATTCCCGTACTTCAAAATTTGGCTTCCTCGAACGTGCCTCATAATTTATTCGCGAAAAACCTATCGTTAAAAATTTATCATTTGTTTCTGGGTTATCTTATTTAAAGCAAAATGTAAGATAAACCACTTAAGATTGGGAAGACTTTTCTGTTAAATAAAACATTGTACAATTTGCCGTCGAAAAAATATATTTATATATCTAGTTTTACTAAAAGAAAGTTATTTTTTTGGAGAGTCTTGCTGCTCATTCAGCCTTTATGACAAAAATATGTTTTTTTTTTTATTATCACTATTACTACCTTTTCCCAGTTTCTAATTCGGGAAGTCTCCAAAATATTTTTGTTAAAAATAAACCATTTCTATAAACGGACACCAATTAGTGATGTCGTGGGTGTCAATGACAAAAAAAGAATGATTTGCCGAAGGCTGAATAACAGGAGCAGGTGCATTAGTTTTTTGCTTGGGTTTCGTGATAAAAATAGCTAGCGAATTACGTTGGCTGACGTCAAATGCTTGCTGCGAATCTCATTTCACCCGGTGGAACAGGTGAAAAACACAGATATCATTAACTTGACACTTATTACTTATTCATAGATCTTGGAAGCGAAGCAAAAGCGGATGAAAAAGGGAGTGATGATATCGCATTTGAAAACTTCACGGTTTTGGAAATTCGCCTCATACTGCTAATTTGAAAAGAGTTTGAGGATTTCAGTTGCTTAAAAAAAGCGCGGTGGTCATGGAGAATCGAGTTATGTCGTTCAAAAATGTGTCGATTCTGTCACCTAAATGAAAGGGAGACTGAATTTGCAATTCAAATCTGAAACGATATTAAGGATGTTTTTTAGTTTATTGTTATCAGGTTTTTGGAGATCCGCCGCTTTCGGGGTGGCGGCTTATCAACGAAAACTACTCTAAAAAAGACGAAATTTGCGACGATGTATTGTCGAGGTCGAGGTTCTTTTTGTTACATTTCCTGTTATCCTAGTCATTTTTCAATCAGGAAGGTTATGGTCTGCTTTCCTGTTTGTTGTCCGCACTTCGGAAAAAAAAAAAACAGCATTTTGCTTTAAATTTGTTTCGTTCGATGCAATCGAGAGTGATTCGATTGTAGCAGTTATCATTCATATTGGATTATTTTCGGTTTTCTCCGGAACCAGTGCCAAACCCGTACGTCAAAAGTTTTCGGTAGGATATTCAGGTATAACTTGAGCCGGATATAAAAAACATCCTTTAGATCTTGAACGGTGCACAGAACATAAAGAAAACATTCGTATTATTTTCGTCCTTTTTCTCACCATAATTGTTGTGAAAATGTCTTAACATTTGAATATTAAATTGGTTTTGTCTGAATTTGTCTATTAGAGGGTTCAAGAAGGTGATAGAAATTTCATGTGCCAGCAAAACAGTGTTTAGCCTTCCTTTTTGGGAAAAACCTTTTACCTCACTTCACTATCTAGTATTTGTCTTGATTTGTCAAGATGGTGGTCGAGAAACAGTTTAGCTGTCTCATTAATTACTTTTTTTTTAATGAATTCATCATGGCCAAGGAATCCCAAGATACCTTTCCGGCAGGAGACCGCGTGTTACCATATTAGTTAAAAGACCTTTTATGCAACTCCGAAAAAAGAAGGAAGGAAAAACGAAAATGCTATGGTTTACAGGACTCTATGTTGAGCTTATCATGTAACTTCTACACATTTTCAAGAAAACTGAAAAGGGAATGATTTTTGGAATAGATTTTTTAGAGGCAAATATAGCTCAGTCGCATTTACAGTCAAAAAGTAACCATGAATATACATGAAAGACGAACAAGTGTTCTTTTTTTCAGCGTACTGTTTTGTTATTTCTAGACATCTCTGCAATAAAAGAAAAGAGTGTAATACAAAGAATACTGGAATTCATCATTGCGGGTCATAACAATTCTTTGTCAAAATATGGAACTTAAAGAAGAAAACGTAGAGGCAAAGCGCCTGATTTTTAGATCAAAGCTTACTTACGCTGCACGCTTGAAAGGTGCGTGACCGTAAGCTTTCTCATGCGTGTCCAGATTATTCTAGAAACGACTGGTGAAGACGTGATTGAACAACATTGCGCAACGTAACTACAATACGCATGAACTTTACCCTTACGCGTCTGAGCACTGACACACCCATATATAAACCACTCCTTAAGTCACGCATTTGCTCAAGTGTTTTGCAATCCGTCGGTGGCGTCGTGTCAGCACGAACACAATCTCTGACTGAATGAAATTACTTTACGGTCACGAAGCAGTTTGGGCTTACGGTCACGTTTGCTTCTTCGATTCGTTTCTGCTTGTTACTTAAGAAACATTTCATGATTGTATTGAAGCCATAGCAACACAAGTTTTACGTTTATTTACAGATAATATTTGTTTTCGTTGGTGGTTAACACTCTCCTCAGACTAAGTTTTTTGTTTACATTGATGATGCGTGAATCAACATTTTTCTTAAGAGTGTACTACAGCATGACGTGTTGTTGATCGATATCGTTTCGTAATATTTCGTCAGCTTCTCGTTTGTTTGCATAAATATTCCATGAACTTGCGAAAGTCGCAAATAGTTGGGCGGATTCCTACATTGTGAAAGTAAATGATCTTTGTGTCGTCCGGGTAACTTCGATGTGATTACTGAATTGGAACGTATTGGAGTCAGACCACTGCACATTTTATTTATTCTGTTGTAACACCCGACAGCCTCTCGGTACATTTTTAGTTTCTGCAAACTCTTCTCTCGGCAGAACGTCGAGGCTCAAAATGGCAAAAGCTTTAGAGAATTGAAAACATAACCTAGGTTGAAGTTAAGTGGGCAAAGTTTTCTGACATTTCAAGTACGGTGCAATTGAATTCCGTGGCGACCGAACATGGGTTTGTTTTGATGCTGTAACCAGAACAATTCAGGTGTTACCATATTTCCACATTTATGAAACAATCATAAAAGCAAATTTTTGAAAGGAAAAATAGTCAGAAAATCTGAAAGGTTGCGGGCATCAACTGGTGATCAGCATGACAAACTATAACACGATTTTGTTTATAGAACCAAACTCGATTAACATTAAAATTATTAAGTAGAATCATAAAAAATACATTAATTTAAATTTTCAATGCAATCTATTTAAAACTGATTTGAAATTCTTGACCACATAGATGAGTATAATTCTCGTTGAAGAGATCCTAGGAAATTCTAGTCTTCAATTTCTACAATGATTGCGACTTATAAATATACATCAGTGAGAAATTTATTCCTTGTCAGCACATTTAAAAGACGATTGACTTATTTTGCTTTTGGACTCTTCAGCTGTGATTGTAAATCACAAGGTTCAGAGCAGTTGCTTTTGTTTATGTGAAGCAAAAAATGAAAAAAAGAAAAAGAACAAAGAGACTAAACGTTCCAATTGAAACTACCGGCAGCGTTTCATATTTATGTACTTGTACTTGATCAAGTTGTTCATAAAAACATCGGAAAGTATTCATAGCTAAGGCTTGTGTAGGTCTTATTAATTATCTTTTGCATTATACGAATGTTTTTATTCTTTTTGGACTAAGAATTCATTGCAGTTACGAGTGTGACCAAAATAGCTCTAAATACAGCTCGTTTTCAATCGAATCGCGGTCCTTTCCAATTGAAACAGAAATAGTGATCATTTTGTTTACTTTGTAACCCCTGATTTCAAGTTTGATGTGCACGCACCAAAAAAGTGGTTTTGAGAGCCGCCCTTAATCACCTCACAGAAGTTATTGCCGCCAGCATGATTAATGAGGTTGCAAAAGGATTGCATTACTATCCTTGAAATTTCTTTTCTTTCTTGAAAGTGTTGTACTTATGGACAACATATATTCATGCCTACAGCATGTTCAAAAGGAAACAGAAGGGTATTACAGGCTCGGATCTATAAGATCTATAAGAAAAGAGTTTTAATAATTGATAAGACTAGAATTTGAGTAAAAACACTTTGCCTGCGTAAGGGCGTTTGGGACGGAGCCACTTAACCTCGCACCTTCGCAGGGTATCGTTCCTCAGAGCAGGCGACCGGAAAAAGAAGAATTTGAAGTTTCACGTTTTGCAACCACTTCTAGGGATGCGATCCCTTTTTCCTGAAATTGTTTTTCTCTTTAAATTATCACACAAGCATTCAATCGTAATTGGAAAAACTCGTATACCTAGTAGTGCCTTGAAAAATATCTTTAAAAGTCCCAAATTCTTTGGCCACATCTATGAAATAAGTCTAGTCGAGAAGAAACCGAGATACGACACCACGACTTTCGTTCAATTCACTGATTGAAAGAGCATTCCTTGCAAGCCGGAAAGGACAACATACATGCCAGCACTGTTCAACCAGAGGATGCATTTATTTAGAAGGTGCACTGCAGATTTATCAAACAGACACCGTTAGCAGTACGCGCTATGGAGTAGCTATTGAGATTCA